TCAGATGCAAGTAATGGAAATCTCCAGAGGCTTATACCTGCCTCTGGAGATTTCCATTACTTGCATCCGAAGAAGTGAGGTTCTTACCCACGAAAGCTTATGCTCCCAATACTTCTGTTAGTCTCAAAGGTGCCACAGGACCCTCTGTTGCTTTTTACAGATTCAGACTAACACGGCTACCCCTCTGATACTCTGAAATGTTCGTAACTCGGGACAAAACGTTCTGGTTCTTTCAAAAGTTTACAGCTGAACGTTGACTTAATACAGCTTTGAAACTTTACTGTGCAAAAGGAAAATGCTGCTTTTAACCATCTGAATATAAAGGAAACAAACACAGAAACAGTTTCCTTAGTTGTCAAATCTTTTTTTAAACTTTCCCTTTATTTCTTAGTAGTTTATATTTAACACAGTACTGTGTTGGATTTCTTTCTTTCTTTCTTTCTTTCTTTCTTTCTTTCTTTCTTTCTTTCTTTCTTTCGTCCGTCTCTGCTGCTGTCTGATTGTGTACTTCTGGTTCCAAATGAGGTGTGTGATTGACTGGCCAGTTCATAGCTGTGGGATTTGTAACACTGAGGTTCTGCTGTACTTACGAAGAGCTATGGGCCAAGCAACTAAAACAGAAGAAAAACTATGATAAAAATGTCAAAGCAAGGCAGTTAGCCCCATTGCAAGTGGGAGAGAATGTTAGACACTCAGGAGATACTGGCTAGCAGCCTTCTGTGGCAACAGCTGTACCATCCATGCCAAAGCTGTGTGTCAGAACTTAGACTCTCCCCCAGGGTCAGTTGTGCAAAAGCAATGGAGGATATTTAACCAAAGCAAAGACAGCTCTCGGGCTTTGTTTCTCTAGGTCTCTGTTTGCCAGAAGCTGGGAGTGGCTGACAGGGGATGGATCACTTGATGATTACCTGTTCTGTTCATTCCCTCTGGGGCACCTGGCAGTGGCCACTGTTGGCGGACAGAATACTGGGCTAGATGGACATTTGGTCTGACCCAGTCTGGCCGTTCTTGTGTAAGGCCACTCAAAGCACTGAGCGTAGCGGTTGTGCTAATGCCCCGGCCAGCCACTCTCCAGAAGCGGGCCCGGGTGGCGGATCCACCTCAGCAGCCTGTCAGGTCACTGCAGAAAGGAGTGTTTTGAGAACAAGAAATGACCATGTGCTCCAAACTCCTTGTAGGTTCAGGGTGGTCGTTACTGCCGGGAGGTCGGTATCTTGACCTCCGGCCCAGATGCGTCTCCTTGTGTCCCTTTGCTTCCCTTGTCAATTTTCTACAACTCCTACTTTCTGATTTATATTCATTACTATCAACTTTCATAGAATCAT